GCCCCCCCCCCCCACCCACACCACCCCCCCCCCCCCCCCCCCCCCCCCCCCCCCCCCCCCCCCCCCCCCCCCCCCCCCCCCCGGGGGGGGGGGGGGGGGGGGGGGGGGGGGGGTCTCTACAATAACAGGTAGGTAATCAGGTGGGCTCTACATCATAGGTACCTAAGGTAGGTATAAACGATTTGCTCTACCTTTTTTAGGTAGCCAGCTCAGCTTTCTTTCCTTTTGATATGAGACTTTAGAGCACCATATACGTGGCACCACCTTATGCTTTTACCATACATCTTTATAGTAGTATGCAACAAATCTTATCATGTGTTGTATAATCTAGGTACGTAGATTATCTATTTATGAGTGGCCAAAAACTCGGGATACTACGCTGCAGGTTGGCAACGGATCTACGAATAGGAGTGTTTTTGCCTCGGAGCTGAGAAACAGAAATGGGGCGGGGATATTGATGCATTTTTATATCATTCCCTCTAGTCTTCTTTGCACTCCTAAACCTTCCGCTCATCGAACTTGCGCTAGCCTCTGTTTACAAATTGATACACCAGGTCCTTGGCTATTTGTGTAGCATTAGACCGCTCCTTACCTACCTAATATATACCTATATATATTAAATTGTCTACCTACTAGCACAATGGAATCCACAGACAGTATGAAGAGTCGCGTTCAACTCAGAATCAAACGTGCAAAAAGCCACGTTAAAATCAGATTCAACCATGGAAAAAGCCGCATTAAAAGAATCAAGAATCGTATCAAGGGGGAAAGCTCTCAAGTAAGTATTGATATGCATAGATATTACCTCTCTCGCAACCACATCTCGCCTAACGACAAGCGACTACGAAGGCAGCATCACGGGTACAAACTCCGATCCCTACAGAGAGAAATCAGTCAGCAACCCTCCCAAGCCCTGATTCCAGGACTGTAGGAGGCGCGAGCAATGAGTCGACAATCCCACCACGCGTCTCGTATGACTCTACAATCCACGGGGTTGGGACGTTAAGCGAACCGTCTCACGACACGGCGCCCCAGAGAGGACATGATAATGATAGCGCCTCATATATTTCATTGCCTAACCTTGTTACACATGCGGGGGACAATGAAGGCAATACAGGGGTAGCTATGGATAGCCAAAGTGAAAACGATCCTAGTGTACCTTTGGGCCCCGGCCAACTTTGGGCCGCAGCGTACAAAAGGCTTGAAGATGATGATCCGAAACTTTTACATACCTACCAGCAGTTCTTACTGAGTAAAGGCCATAATAGTAAGTTTATACCTCCTAGTACGCAAAGATGTTATGCCAATTCGTATTATCTAGGCCGTAACCACCCACAGGTTGTTAGCGAAGACTGGCAAGCCCAAGTTAAAAAACTCGCCAAGGAAGCATTAGAGGCAAGCCAGAAGGAAAGGCTCAGTTTCAAGCTACGCGAGAAGAACATTGTCGTTCGTGAACAACTTGAGAAGGCCATGGGGTTCATTGTATCTGTCAAAGATATTGTGGGAGCCGCTATCTCATCCGAACCTCATGCTGCACTAGGATGGGCAGGTGCTATGTTTGTTCTTCCGGTAAGTCTACCTACCTAAAGTCTTCTGAGATAAGTACCTGCCCATATAGTACATACTAAACAGAACGGTTCACACAGTTGTTGAGCACTATGTTACAACAAGATAAGCTTGCAATAGAAGGCTTCGAATCTATAGTAAATCTTCTAATCCGTTGCAAACTCGTTGTGGATGACTTTTTGCAACCTAGTGCTCTAGATTCTGGGTAAGAACGTCAATTCATCGAGATAATATTATCATCTAATATTTAACTAAAGGATCTCTGCCAATTATTCGGACACTGTTCATTCTCTCCAATCGAAGATCATTGATTTCTACTACAGCGTCTACAAGTACCAGATTTCGGTTATCGCGCACTTCAACCGCTCTACTCTAAGTAAACTCTGGAAAGACTTCAGAGTAAAAGATGACTGGAAAGGAAAGACTGGCCAATTTAAAGCAACAGAATTGGAAATTAGAGAGGATATACAAGCCCTGTCAGCGCATAAAACGAAGGAGATTGATAATAAGCTTGAGGATCTCTTGTCTGAGAACCAAAACTCTTTGGAGGAATATAAGAAGATTATGAAAGAGAGCTTAGAGGTAAGCCTAGCCTCCCACAGTACATGTTATAGTAAATTAATTTCTCCTTTAGGCTATAAAGCATGCCTCAGATCTCAAAGATCTTCCTGTTGCTCATTCCGCAGCGTTTGAATCCTCGGAATCAGGGAGACGGTGCTGCACGCCACAAACCCAATTGAAGATCCTTAGTCACGTACAAGAATGGGTAGAGAGTCCTACAAGCAAACCAATCTTGTGGCTCCATGGAATGGCTGGCACGGGCAAGTCTACTATTTCCCAAACGGTCGCCACAGCCTTGGATAAGAAGACCTCTTTCGCAAATGATTCACAACTATCCGATAATATCTATCTCGGTGGTACTTTTTTCTTCAAGCAGGACGACACAAGCAGAAACCATGCTAGCGTGTTGTTTACAACGCTTGCGCACCAGCTAGCCCATAAACGATTTGGCCTTGAAAAAGAGATAGCTAGAGCTATCAACGAAAATGCGAGTCCCAACATAGGAGTCAAAAGTGTAAAAGTCCAATGGGAAGAATTGATACTGAAGCCTCTCAAAACCATTCAAGAATCACTTCCTCGAACGCGTCTGGTATTGATACTTGATGCATTAGATGAGTGTCGACACCAGGAAACTGGAACTATGAGAGCCAATATCCGAGACATCGTTCAATCGCTGGGACAACTTAGGGAACTCTCCGGGATTCAAATTAGGGTTCTCGTAACTAGTAGGAACGAAAGCCACATCTATGCAGCCTTTAATGAGTTAAAGGATTCGTATGACCACCACGAACTCCCAAAGGTTACGCTCGATGGCTCCCACAATGATATAAGCATATTCCTGGAAAATGAGCTGTACGGAAATAGAAAAGACGACGAATATGGTGCACAGTGGCCTACTCCGGTTGAATTTTCCAAACTTGTTGAGAAGTCTGGTGGTCTTTTTATCTACGCAGCGACTGCATGCAAGTTTTTGAGCGTCAATGACACAGAACTAGCAAAGGAGCGATTGGATAAGCTTCTTGAGGGAACTCCCAGCTCGAAGTCTCCGGAGTCCAGTTTGGACTCTATATACCGTACAGTCTTGGATGCTTATACCAGAGATTGGACCGAAGACGAAAAGCAAAAAGACCGCCTTATTAAAGAGACCCTAAGGTTGATTGTTGTACTTTTCAAGCCCCTACCAATCAATTCATTAGCGGAACTCACGACAAGTAAAAGCCAGGCCTCCAGAGTAAGAAAATGTCTCGAGAGTGTACGTTCCATTGTCGACATCCCGGAAGGCTACGAATTACCGGTGAGCCTAGTGCACCTCTCGTTCCACGAATTTCTTTTAGATGAACAGAGATGTAAGACAACAGGTTTCTACGTTGAGCCATCCATAACACATATCCACCTATTCAAAAGGTGTCTCGATATTATGTCACAGCAACTCCATATGGACATGTGTGATCTTAAAAAGCCAGGCGTACTTTCGACTGAGATTCAACGAGACTTGGTTCAGCAGTCCATTTCACCACTTCTGCAGTATGCTTGCAGGTACTGGGTTGACCACCTCTTGCTCGTTAGGGAAGCCCACCTACCCCAGGATATATTGTCTGACAATGGAAAAGTCCACAAATTCATGAAAAAGCACATATTGAACTGGCTTGAGGTACTTAGTTTGATAGGAGAGGTTGGAAGCGCCGTCCACGCAATTAATCATCTCAGGACATTGGTTAATGTGAGTACCCAAAACAACTCAATCCCGCTGATTACCAAGATGCTGACGAAATATAATTATTTCAGCCGCAAATGAGCCTGAAACTATCTGATTTCCTCAACGATTCATACCGGTTCACTCTTTTCAATATAGGCATCACTCGAGAAGCCCCTCTTCAAGTGCATTATTCCTCAGTTCTATTCAGTCCTTCTTCGAGTATCGTACGACGTTTATTCTTGGGGTCACTCATTGAATGGATTACGAAGATGCCCACTGTAGAAGATGCTTGGGGTACCGAACTGCTAAATATTAAATGCGATGGCTGGTTAGATTCAATAGCTGCTTCCCCAGACGGCAAAATGCTTGCTGCGGTGTCGAATGGGGCGCTCCAGCTCTTTGAAGCTGCCACAGGCACTGAAATCGTCAAGATTGATTTTCGTCCGAATCAGCACATCCGCAAAACTTTGTTCTCGACAGACGGACAATATGTTGCTTTGGGCTTAGAAAGTGGCCTCGTTCGATTATATGACATACAAACGAGGGAAACTTCAGATCTACAGGGCCACAAAAGACGGGTTACTGGTCTGGCTTTTTCTCAATCTCCTAGCAGCCATATATTCGCCTCAATATCAAATGACGGCTCATGTTGTGTGTGGGATTGGTCGAGAAAGAAACCAATCCATACACTTCAAACTGCCAAGGAGCATACGACAGCAGTCGGAATTTCTCCTGATGGCAACTTCGTGGCAGTAGGGTCCATGACTGCTAATCGGTTTCGTGAATCAACCCTCCAGGTATGGGATATAAATACAGGAGAATCGGTAATTACGTCGGATGATATTGAGTATATCCGGTCTATCACATTCTCTCACGACGGAGATTCCATGGCAGTGGCAATATATGATACTTCGCTTAAGTTGTACGATACTAAAACATGGCTTTCACGATTCACATTATCCTTTCTCACGCTGTTATCAGTGGCATTCTCATCTGACGGGAAGATTCTAAAAATTTGCAGTGGAACATGGACTAAAATATATTTTTACAATGCAGTTTCCGGAGAAAAAATTCGCGGACCGTATGTCCCACCTTATAGTTGTTGGGGTGCGGTGTTTTTTCCTAATGGAAAAATCATAGTCTTGATGTTAGGTGACAGCATGCGACTATGCAGCCTTACTGCTAGCAACGAGGAGAGATTGCCCTCGTATGACATCATTGCTGTTACACCTCTTGATTACAATAGTGTCATGGCAGTTTATGACGGTACGACTAGCTTTTGGGAGTTGAATGAGTTCAAAGTCGTCCAAGAAATCCCCCGCAGGTTAGAATGCTCGTCCAACAGCAGATTTGCCGTGCATTATTCCGAGAATTCTATTGAAATATGGTCCACCGTAACCCGAGACCTCGTCGAGCATTTTAAAGGCACCGGAAAAATCCATTTCTCGCCCTTTGGTGAGATTTTAGCTTTGGTTTCATCTGATGTTTCATATAATATAATTCAGATTCTAGAAATCGACACTTGGAAAGAGCGCACAAATCTCACCCTTCAATACAGTCCTGCACCATTATACGTCGAGTTTTCGTCAGGTAACAAGCCTATACTCTGGAGACGGCGAAGTGATTTAGATGAAGGCTCTTACTTAGAGATATTTATCCTAGAGAAGCATGGCCATTTTCGCTCAATGGAATACAACAACGTTGGCTATCCTACATTCTCGCCGGACGGTAAATGGATGGCCTTTGAGGAATGTAAAAAAGGCCCTTATGTCCATCTATTCGAGGTAGAGACGCAACAACAAAGAGCCAAGCTACCGTACAACAGAAGACGCAATCCGAAAATACTTTTTTCACCGGACAGTACTCTTATCGCCATACTAGCCAACAGGATGTTCACCCTATGGGACATGACCCAGAATGTCAGGGTGCACAATCTGGAGGTAACTGATTCGTCCTGCCTCATCGCGATATCACTAAATGGAGAATTTGTTCTGGATATCGACGATCAAATGAACATATGTGATCTTAAAACTAATCAAGTGGTAACCCTGCCTTCTGGCGTATTGGACTATGGTTTATCCTTCTCAAAAGACAGTGAATACTTGATTAGTCCCAGGGGTCGCCTACCATACCGGTCTACTGGTAGAGACCTCGATTACCTTTACGTCAGCGAGAACTGGGTGCTCCAAGGAGGCGAGAGACTGTTGCGGCTTCCCCAAGCATATATCCCGGTCGTTGACAACGTAGTGGTAAAAGGAGCCACCATTGTTCTGGGAGTTCAGTTCAGCTCTCCGGTGTTTATCACAATTGATCTCGAAAATACCCCCTTGGCGAAGCGACGTAAGGAATCTTTACAAGTTGAGGTAGTAGGCTCCAGAATCACAGAAGTGGAGTAGTTTGTTAGTACACATGATCTGTTTTGGCTAGGTACATTCAAGAGAAAGATGGACACTATTAGAGTTAGGTGTTTCCCTTACTTTGGTAAAGCCATGTAATGTATTTTAGATCATAGGCACACAGGTCTATAGACTATAAGTCAGCAATGTTTATGTCTCATTATCTAATAGTATTTTATTTACAACTGCCAGGGCTTTCCTTTCTCGTTCCCTGGCTGGTTGAAAATGGTGAATATTACTCCCATTTCAGGGAGCTTTCTCGAAATGTCTCCTGATATACATGTAAGACCAAGCATGGTATACCCTAGGTACCTACCTAGGTACCTAAGGTTGGGTATTCAACTATGTAAGATAAGGAGGTAGGCATCTGATATTAGATGACACATGCAGATTTGACCATAGGGCTTCATTTTGAAGGATGTTAATAAGACGCCTTTTATGTTTCTCAGCAGCGTGTTACAAGGGACACTCGTAGAAGCATAGACAAAATTGTCAAAATCGACTTTAATTCTTGACCAGCCCCAACTCCAGAACTCCTAATACGCCACGCAATGCAATGAAAAAAAAGAAAGAGGATATCGTTCGAAACTTAAAAAGCAACCCGCCTCTTCCGTCCCGTATACTTGGATGTAGCCTTGACGATTTTTCCTTTCCGCTCCATCTGCTCCTTCTTTTTGATAATCCATGCTTTACTCCCCTTCTTGATCTCGCCCTTCCCGCTGCGGTTGCTATGTCTCGAATCTAGCACATCGACACCCTCCATACCCTTAACCACCCCCGTGATATCGCCTCCGTTCCCGTCGAGGTTACCGCCGCCAACCGTGAGCACGAGGTACACCTTGACGTTCTTGGTGTCGGGATCGTCCTCCAGCAGACCGGCGCCGAAGCCCGCGCGCACGGCGGCGCTCGTGATCATCTTCTTCTGCTCGTCGTTCTTGGGGTAGAACTGGCAGACGGCGCGGCCGCCCCGCTTCAGGCTGGCGTACAGGCCGTTGAAGAAGCGCGACAGGCGGCCGGCGGGCGACACGTCGCTGGTCTCGGCGTTGCACAGCCACTGGATGGCGCTGATGCTGACGGCGGCGTCGAAGGTGCCGGCGCGGAACGGCACGCCCTGCCCGATGTCCGCCAGCAGCAGGTCGCCCTCGACGTCCCGCTGCAGCGCGACGTCCAGCATCGACGCCGACACGTCCATCCCCACCCACACGTGCGGCCCGCCTTCCTCCGGCGGCACCGACGACAGGATCTCCCCCGACAGCCCGCTCCCGCACCCGACGTCGAGGATGAAGGACGGCGACGACAGGTCTAGCAGCTCGAGGGCCCGGTGCGTCATCGACGCTTGGATGTTCTGGATTCGGGACGACGTCGTGTACTTGCGCGCTTCGGAGTCATTGTAGTGGACGTCGGCGGACCTTTGACGACGGAGTTAGAGAGGGGATGATGTTCTGGTCTTTGGTGGGGGGAAGGAGGGGTCGTTTTACGTACAGTGTGTCCTCTGGCCGGGACATTTTGGTGGTGTTATTTTACTATGATAAGAAGCGTCAAATATTTACAATTGATTTGTTTCGAATTAGAGCTTGGGATTATATTATTTTGTATCTAATATAGAAGTAGGAGATTGATAACGGATCGCATTTTAGCAATTGCTTGTGATGCGCCGACGTTGAACTTTTCTGTGGGGCCGACTTTAATCTTATCGTTATCTGCTATCAAACGGGATATATTCGGTAAGTATGTCAGGGTTAGTAATTAACGTAATGCAAGGGTTAGATCTTAGGTAGATCCATCCATCCATTTTCTTGGTTGAATTTCATGTTGACGTAATATGCATCTAGGAAAATCAAATTGCCGTTTCCGTCGTCAAAGTGGAAGGCCACGCTTCCAATTCCTCAAGCTTAAACTTCGGGTCGCGTCAGTTTGTCCGGGCCAATCCTACGAAGGCCAAAATCTAAGCCTTTCGCAATGTCATCATGTTTGTCTTTACCTGAAGTACCTCAAGCAACCAACCAACTTTATTTTCTCCTTTACCACCAGATAGTTAATTTTATACTATGATATTATCGTAGTTAATCCATCGCGATACTACGAACAATGTGGATTCTACCTTTCGTTGGCTATGTCGGCTCCATCGTGGGCTTTTGCTTCCTGACTTTGGCCATAGGTATGTTGTTATTCTTGGCATTATATTCTTCTTCACTGGAGACATATGCCCTACACTAGCTAGTCTAGCTTCCGGAAATATTTTTTAGTTTTTTATTTTTTTAACACAAGACTTTTCCTACAGCTTCCGGCCTATACTATCTCTCTGAATTAGTTGAGGAGCACACCGTAATTGCGAAACGACTTCTAACCAAACTCATCTACTTCATCATCGCACTACAAGTCATACTCTGGCTTGTCGATGGATTCCCCTTTGGGCTCACCTTGATGGGGGTCGCATCGCATGTTATATATCTGGGGAATATGCGACGCTTCCCATTCGTCAAGTTGACAGACCCTTTGTTCATCGCCTCATGTGGTATGTTAATGCCTCTATCATGCTATCATGCCATCTGAAGTGAAGTGAAATTTAGGGAATGCTAACTATGCGACAGTGCTCGTACTTGTCAATCATTATTTCTGGTTCCAACACTTCTCTGAGGCGCAGCAGCGATCCTATTCGCGCCTGTCGTCTATGTACGACCAGCCGGATGTACCAAGTTTCACCGAGATCGCCTCGTACTTTGGTTTGTGCGTATGGCTTATCCCCTTCGCCTTATTTGTCAGTTTGTCTGCTAGCGATAACGTCCTGCCCACGATGGGTACCGAGCAACCTTCGCGTGACGTTGACGGGAAGAACAAGCGGCAGGGTATGGTAAAAGTGATTGTTGACAGCGTGTTGTCAGCTATCGGAGAAGTTACCCGCTTAGCAGGGTGGAAGAAGCCAGACGACCGCTTCTGATACCATGGTAGGGTTGAAAATCAAGTAGGTAATAATAATAATATGTACATAATTTACTGATCCGCCGAACAAGCGTTTATGGTAAGTCATCAGCCAGTATCCGAGGTATTCATCGCGGGCTAACAAGTGTCAAGGCGTTTCCTAATCGCAAATACGCATCCACCCAAAGCAGACATTTCTGCCTTCTCCAATTGAAGGTGCCCTATGTGTCTCCGGTCCGAGTTCTTTTAAGGCAGCAGCACATTTGGAGATTTGAGCTGTATTGATAGATTAACTGGTAAGTGAACTTTGATTTCTTCAAAAATACGAGCAAATTTATTTCATGATGACACGTCCAATTTATCATGCTAGATTGTATTTGAGTCTATCGACTTTGATGTGAACGATTGGGTTTACCTGAACAAAATATTTTTACTATGTATTCTGGAAATATCAACATTTGTCATTCATTTCTAACCTTATCAGCAGATATACTAAACCTCCTAATGCGAAATCATGGGCGATGTGAAGAACCAGTTGATGCGCTTATGGCTATTTATGCCACTTGCCTGAGGACGTCGTTGGCATAAGATGATTCTTGGTTTATAAGCTATAATCCTTGATTCCATCGCCGAATTAGGCTATACACGTTCAAGTGTACCGATGAAGCCGATGCTCAGTGCCAACAAAGGCGACGATATTGCCCCAGTATAACTGTTCGAGATACTCAAATTTTAAGGGGCGTATGGTTTATAGAGATATTCAAGATTACTATAAGCCCTAGGGATTCCATAGCAGTAAGAGAAATGTGACCACAAAAAGTCCCCAGCAAATGCGAACGTCTCCATCAATTTAACTGACCTATGAGAACGATATTTATTCGTTTGCCTATTGCAACCTTAATCTACCCCTCACATTAGCGATCATATACCCTTAAATTACCTGTACCTGTTATATACATCGATCTACTTTATGTACCAAGTGCAGATCTTTCTTTCTTTTCCTTGGTCTGAGCTGAATGAATGGGTTATACAAGTTGAGGCTGAGCAAGAGAGTCAAAATGCCTGGTAGGACTCTTTATGTTTCAAATCTGCTATGTGTGGAATAGAACTGAGTGGTCTGCTTGTGAACCCAAGTTACTTTTTCGCAGACGAATCGAGCAAATGGCGCCAGGTCTTCAATAGCAAGGATTGATCAGCACTGCTCAGCCATTGGCTCTCTTCATTTTTACCAAGAGCGGTAAGTAGGATGATGGGTAATTGGGCTAATTGGCGACATGGCAACAAATCCCGGTTCAACCTGCATCAAAGCCGAATCCCTCAGGGTGTTGTTCCCAATAGAAATATCCTGCTGCCTGATACGAAGCCAACCTATTGCCTATTCGAGACTTGTTCATACTGGGGTATATGCTCAATTTATTGCCAAAATGAGAGCAAGACAATATCAACTCCAGTTATTTGCGCTATCTCATTCGTTGTAAGTCGCTGTTTTTGCAAATAATAGGAGTAATTGGCTTCTCGAATACGCGGGAGAATATTGTGTTTCCAACGAGGCTCACCCGACTATTCCGTGTGTAATCCGTGTAACGCCGTGGCATGCAATATCTGGTCTGTAAACACAAGTAATGCGGCAGAAGCGCCATGTAGCACTAAACACTTGAATGTATACTGTCATGGGGGCTTGGTCAATGCCAATTTCAATTTCAAAGTAAGCAGTAGGTATCATATATGATTTATATCTGTCCCCCTCGCTATGTATATTAAGGACTGTTCCTAAAATTCTTCAGTTTTTATATAACACTGGGTCACTAAAGGGTGCGTATGGCATAGGTTCCGTCACCAGTTGACGGCTCTGCAACGATGAATTTACAATCGTTAGGGCGCCAGACATGGGCCTTGACGAGGAAGAACCTCCTCATCACTGTTCTTCGAAAGTGGCGCTCGACCTTCTTCCGATCTCTCCTGTTCCCCATAGTTGTCTTAGTTCTTATGCTCGAAGTTCAGAACTTCACCAAAGATAATAACGGATATGGAATTCCAAATCCTCGTTCCGTCAGAAGCCTTGCCGACAGCATGGCGGGTAGCTCGAAACCTCTCATCTTAGTTCAAGAGCCTGGCCTTGGACCGGACTTTCAGCCCGTCCTTGAGAAGATTACGGATCCCCTAGACTCGAATAGGCTTGTCCATCTAAACAATTCTAACAAAATCGATGCCACTTGCCCAGTGGATTATCACGGAAACTCACCGTGCCACGCAGTAGTTATTTTCAAGGACACGCCTCTCAGTGGACGCGTCAACGCAACATGGAACTATACTATCAGAGCAGACCCTAGCCTTGACCAAGGGACTTTCAACGTCTTCGACATGAACAGCGCTATCGACAAGATCTACCTACCTCTTCAATTGGCTATCGAGAACGCAATGCTCAACCTAACCGATACCCCGGACTTCATGCCCTACACATCTTTTACACAAGAGGAGATGGACGAAAATTCAAGAAAGAGCTTCATCACCATAGCATTGTATATTCTGTCCTTTGTCTTCTACATCACCTTCATCCCCGTTGGCCATCACGTCGCGGGCATGATAGCGTTTGAGAGGGAAACCGGAATGTCAGACCTAATCGACGCAATGGGCGGAGGCGTTGCCTGGCCGAGAGTACTGAGTTATGTTCTCACATTCGACATCATATACTTGCCTCTTTGGATAATCTTGGGAGCCTGTAAGTGCCCTGCCCTCGAATCTGAACGCTTATCTCTAACTTGAATTAGTATACTGGGCTCTCCTTGTCCCTAACCAAAGTCCGGCCGTTACGATCTTCTGGCAGATATTCACAGGATGGTCAATAACAAGTTCGTCTGTGTTTGGGGCAGCATTCTTCAAAGGATCTGCTTTTGCTAGTCTTTGGGTTTCATTAATCCCTTGGTTGTTGGCTATCTTGTCAGGTTTCTCGGAAAACCAATCAAGCCCTGCTCCTCTTGGCCAGGTCGTTGTGCTGTCTTTATTATTCCCTAGCATGAACTACATCTACTTCTTCAACTTTATTGGCAAAGCTGAACTTGTTGGAACCCGCCTCGACCTGGGGCAGCCACTACCAGATACTGGGTCAGCGACTGGCCAGAATGATGGGACCAATTGGGTCAGTCTCACTGGTCCTTACTTCCTATGGATCATCTTGATTGTCCAGATTTTTGGCTACGCGTTGCTAGCCGTCCTGGTTGAGACGTACTTACACGGGAACAACCAACGTCGCCGAACCTTCCATAACACCCCAGAAGCAGCCAATTCCCATGTTGCCATCGAGACTGTCAATTTGGAGAAACAGTATCGGCCATCATGGTTCAAGAAGTTATTCTGCTGTGCTCGCGCTCCGGAAACAAAGGCTGTAGATGGGTTGAATCTTGTCAGTCAGAGACGCCAGATCCTTTGCCTATTAGGTCCCAACGGTTCTGGAAAGACAACAACTCTTGACATGCTGGCCGGATTCCAAACACCTACTGGGGGGCAGGTAAACATCAACGCTTCACCGTCGCAGTTGGGTAAGTCATATTGCATAGTACAGTTGTAACGAAGGTTTCTTACTAACTTGTACAGGTATTTGTCCGCAACGTAATGTGTTGTGGGACAACTTGACCGTCTATGAGCACCTTGTCATTTGGAATACTCTGAAGGGCAATACTGAGGACCCAGCGGCCCTCGAACAACTAATTGAAAAATGTGATCTCGTGCTCAAGAAAAATAGCTTTGCGGGGAACCTAAGCGGCGGTATGAAAAGGAAACTCCAATTAGCTTGCATGCTTGTCGGTGGTTCCTCCGTTTGTCTTATGGACGAAGTCACCTCTGGTCTTGACCCCTTATCTCGTCGCGTCATCTGGAATGTAGTTCTTAGCGAGAGATCCCAGAGGACCATGGTGTTAACTACGCACTTCCTTGATGAATGCGAGGTCTTATCTGACCATATTGTCATCATCACACTAGGGAAGATCAAGTGCCAAGGAACACCGACCGAATTGAAGAACCAATACGGCGGCGGTTACCGTGTTCATATCCCAAGGACCGAAGATGTATCGAACGTGCCGTATCCAGTGATAGAACAGCATGATCGGTACATTTGCAGGACGCCAGACTCAACGTCGGCCGCGAAACTCCTAGCCTCGTTGAAGAACTCTAGCGATGCGCAGTTATATATCACCGGACCAACCATAGAGGACGTGTTCCTCAAGGTCTCCGAGGAGCCGCACGCGCTCATCGGCGAGACGCCAGAGGAGATTTCACTCACAGACTCCCAGCCAAGCCGAGCCAAGAGCCCGCACGTCGAGCCGCCTCTATGGGTGACTTACTCGCAGCAATTCTGGGCTCTCTTCATAAAAAGAATCCAAGTCCTGCGCTCGAACTGGTGGGCGTACCTCTTCGCCCTCGCCATCCCCATCATCGCGACCTACGCCATCGGGTCGTTCCTCGAGGACTACGAAATTCCGGACTGCAACAATCTGATCTCGTTCGCGCCCTACGACAGCCGCATGGACTTCGAGTATATGACTTCGCTGGCGCTGGGCCCCCCGTCCGTCAACAGCACCGTCGAACAGGTGATCAATTCCACGGTCGATGATCCCTCCTGGGGCTGGGGCAACGGGCCCTTCGTGCTCGATACTAGGGATTCCGTTGAAAACTTCGTCCGCACTCATGCCGTGAACATCTCGTACGGCGGCGCCGCGTGGATGGCCAATGACTCGAAGCCTCTCGTCGCGTACTTTGCGTCGTCCGGCTCGTCGGGCGCTACTGGCCTTTTGAACCTCGTCAACCAAGTTCGCAGCGGGAAGACCATAGCGGGATACCTGTCTACTCTTCGTTCCTACCACCAGGCCGAGGGCGGGCAGAGCATGTTCTACGTCACGATCTTCTGTCTGCTGCAGGCGCTCTACCCGGCTTTCTTCTCCCTGTATCCGACATACGAGCGCAGATCGCAAGTACGACGACTGCAATATTCGAACGGTGTCCGACCGTTCCCTCTGCTGTTTTCGTACTGGATGTTCGATTTCGTGTTTGTCGTGATTATCGCCTCCGTCTGTACGGCTCTGATTGCTCCTATCGCGCCGTGGTTCGGCCTGGGACACGTCTGGTTCATACAAGTGCTTTACGGACTTGCGGCTATTCTCTTCGCATACTTGGTGACTATGATATCCCGCTCGCAACCGGCTGCATTTGCTTATTCGATTTTATTCATGGCTATCATGTACGTGATATCTGTTATTGCACTGTTGGTAAGATTCCTCCCCCCTCCCCTTTTGACATGAATACCAAGAGGAACCTTGTGCTAACCCTAGAGCAAGGTCATCCAAATGACAGATGGCTCCAACCAGATGGCCAACGACGGAACCGCCTACGGACTCGGTATCATCTTCCCTATCCAGAACCTTATGCGAGGCTTGGCCGTGAGTCTGAACATGTATATCGTCCGTTGCCGAGGCCAGGACATGATTACAGACCCAAGCTCATTCTACGCCTTCGGCGGGCCCATCACGCTTCTCATCCTCCAAAACATCGGTCTCTTCACCTTGCTCCTATGGCTTGAAGGCGGTAGCTTCGCGTGGATCTCGAAGCCTAAGGCCCTTCCGCCCGCCGTCGACGATACAAAGAGCGCTTCTTCATCAGAACGACCGGATGTCGACGCCGAGACAGCTCGCGTGGCATCGTCGGAGATGGATCTCCTCCGCGTTCTTCATGTGTCCAAGAAATTTGGCAATAACGTTGCCGTTGACGACGTGTCGCTCGGCCTCCAGGAGGGCGAGATCCTCGCTCTATTAGGTCCCAACGGAGCTGGAAAGACTACCATGATCAACATGATCCGCGGCGACCTAACACCTAGCAGTGGTCGAATCTACCTCGAGGGTGTCGACGTACTCAAGAACAAGCGATTAGCCCAGAAGCACCTTGGTGGTAAGTTACCCCCCCTCCCCTATTCTACCTTCCTACCTTCCTGCCTACCTCTTCTCATAATTGGTAATACTAACACAGCAATACAACGCTACAGTCTGCCCACAATTCGACGCCCTAGACCTGCTCACAGTGCGCGAGCACCTAACCTTCTACGCGCGGTGCAAAGGCGTCGAGGACATCCGCGCGGCGGTATCGTACGTGATGTCGCGGGTGGGCATCAGCGCGCACGCCAGCAAGCCGGCGGCGAAGCTGTCGGGCGGGAACAAGCGCAAGCTCAGCCTGGCGATCGCGCTGCTCGGGGACCCGCCGGTGCTCCTGCTCGACGAGCCCAGCTCCGCCATGGACGCGGCCTCGAAGCGCGTGCTCTGGCGCACCCTGGCCGCCGCCGTGGCCCCCGGCCGCTCCGTCCTCCTCACCACCCACTCGATGGAGGAGGCCGACGCCCTGGCCACCCGCGCCGCCATCGTCGCCCGCCGGGTCCTCGCCGTCGGCACCACCGAGGCCCTGCGCAAGGCCCACAGCAACGAGTACCACGTGCACCTGATCCTGCGCAGCGCCCCCCTCTCGACCGCGGAAGAGATGCGCAATGTCAAGACGTGGGCGCGGCGGACGTTCGGCGACGCGGTGCGCTTCGAAGGGGAGAGTCTCGGGGGGCAAGTGCGGTTCGTGGTCCCCGCCGATAGCAGAGTGCCGGAGTCGGGACAGCAGGGACACGCCGCAGGGGCGGCGACGGCGCGCACGGGCAGTTTCACGAGATACCTGATTGAGACGCTGGAGGCGCGGAAGGAAGGGCTAGGGATCGATTGTTATTCGATTTCCGCGGCGACGATGGAGTCGGTGTTCATGAAGGTGGTGAAGGAGAGCGATGCGGCGGAAGACGAGGGGCGGCAGCAGAAGCCGTGGTGGCGGTGGTAGTAGTAAGGTGAGGGTTAAGGGGGGGCAGGCAGTACAACAGATAATTGGCGACGGTTGGAAACTTTAATGACGTGAGATATGGGATACACCTAAGTGCATATAACTATTTTACTATGTTAATACCCAGTTCGTAATGCAAGACATGACGTTCAAGTATGATGGATCTACTATGAATACTACTATGAATATTTGCTTAGCCTAACGAGACAATCCCTATCTTAATATGTCTAGGTAGTCTCGGCATATGCGTTTTGCCTCTGCTAACGAAGACGGCTAAAGCTGTCAGCAAGCCTGTACTCGAAGTGAAAATAGTGTCAAATATCGCTTAAGGTTGTAGTCTTACTTCTTCCAATATCCGCACTGTTCATATCTATAGAAACAAACAATTCTACTATCTATATATTGTCCCTCTATATGTTGACCAATTCTTTCGAACTTTCTATCTAGAGAGCTACTAAGGGATGAGTGTTACCTACCTGATACCTTGGCCAGAGAGTAATATATTGTCTCCTACACGAATAGCTTGGCTATAATGCTTCGTCTCACGAACCCATTCGCCGGCTCCTGGGTATGCATACTATGGTAGGCCTGCCATTGCGAATAACGAAGGACATATGTAAACAGTAGTTCTATATGGATATAAAATTGCTATAGAGTGATGTGTTTCTAAGATGGTTTAGTAAATTGACCTATATAAAACTATGCGAGCTCTCAGACTATGGAAATTTGAAATAAATCGGAAAAACTACCCTTTCACCTCTGACCCGGTTACCATTGAGCAAATACTATACAATACCAATAACAAGTCTATTTAAGACAACTCCAAATTCTAGGTACCTACCTACCTATGCATCAAGGTCTATACCCAGCATGACCTAACTAATAGTTGCTATAGTTTGATTCAATTGTATAGGTAGAATCGGTGTCCCCTTAGTTGGATAATGCTTAATATCGCTGCCAGCTTTGCTCGGAATTTGGGAATGCATACTACGTAGAACAACCCAGGATCAGTTCTACTTTTCCCGACAATATAGGTCAATAGACCTTACTAACTAAAAAAAATGCTTACACCATATTGTCGTTTGTTAGTATGTTCCACCTAGCTTGGGTATCGAGTAGTCTTTAGTGATACAATTTCCTTTCTATCATCTTTTGAATTGTTCCACGTGGCCGCTACACGGAAATCTTCTCTGTCAGCAATATTCTCGCCATGTCTGGGTGGGCAAACGGAACGTTATATGTTACATGTTATATGTTATATGCCGAATATGGACCATTCTCTATATCGCATCCTCTTAATATGATAGCAAGGGAATGAATAATACTATATCAACTTCCAGGTGTTTATAGATTCTACTCAGCCTACCCCGTGCCGTGGCTGTAGCACGTATCTAACCGTGGCCCATATCCGCACTATCTAGATCGGTCCCGGATATGTGCATCGCAATCAAGTCGTCATTTATTGGTGGGTAACTGCCGGTAAATCCACTTCGCTCCAAACGCTCCGAAGCGTGGTGGCTTGAAGAAGAGGCACCTGCTGTCTGCACCGTCTTGTATGCTTTGGATTTTGCGTCTATGGAAGGGGAACAGAAAAAAGGAGAAAGAGAGGCCTGGAATAGAACACTGGATTAAGATAGATACCTAGGTACCTAACCTAATGCTTCTAGTAGAGTGGCTGGATTTGCGTGGGAACATGATATTGGGAGTTGCCTGTTCGGCACAATCCTTAGGCTTAGAAGTTAGAATGTAGAACGTGGCAACACCGAAATCACTTACGCCGAGCTAGACGATCTTAGCGGTTGTAAATCTACTGGACTGAAGCTGGATTTGTCTCCAGTATCGAGGCTGGAGTAGCCGTACAAGCCGAAGTAAGCGGAGAACGCGGCCTGATACGAATACAGTTCTTTTTCAAAGTAATGCCACATTTTAGTCGTCATGGTTGATGCTTGAATCAAGTTAGATATCATTAAAAAATTTTTAAATATGGATCTGTGGTTGAGACTATTAGTGGTTGAATAAAGCCGTTGTCTCACACAGGCGCATATGCTGTATCTGTATTATAATCTGCATAAAGGAAGTTGTAAGTGTAAGCCTATTACTAGCAGTGCTGTAACCTTGCACTATGTAGCCTGTAGGCAATGTTGGGCAGGAACGCAATGTGGACCGTGCGCTTGAAACTCGCCCGCTTGACCGGGGTGCGGGGGGGACCAGACATCAATTCTCAGATGCTTCTTAGGTGCAAGTGCTTCCTGAGGTGGTTCTTGGGTTGCAAAAGGTACAATGCTAAGTAGCACTATGTAGCACAGGTACCTAATGTATCATTACTGCAACGCTCGTGATAAAAGTTACAAAGCTGTATCCCACTTTTCTTTCTCAACCCAACCCGCCAGCCCGCGAGATCTACCACCAGTTAGCGGCTGCCAGCTTTCTCACACCGCATTATCCATACATCTTGCAGTAATGGCTTGGATACAATCCCATAAGTCCGAGAAAGAATAAAAAGCATTGGAAATCCTAATCCTAATTTCCCATTGCTCCTCTTAGATTTTCTCTTCTCTACTTCCCACTCAACACCATCGTGTATAAGTGGTACCAGGTAGAGTGTTTCACGATACTTGGTACCAGTGGAGTTTCGTTCTAAAAGCAGAAACTCTTTTCAAAGACCAGGGGGGGAATAGTGCAAATCGGCATTAACCCCCTGGGCTTTGGCCACGAGAAAGATCGTCATTCACTTCCGGCGACGAGTTTAACGACGAAGAAAATAGAGAGAGAAAAAAAAAAAAGAGAATCAACTTATTGGACCTTTATCTTTATTTAAGACTTTATTCATTTTCAACTCTTTACTTCTCTCTCCTCCTTTTTTTTATTTTCCATTTTCTTCCTTACCTAAGTCCCGAGGTACCTAACAAAATACTGCTGCCTTCCAAGGCACCCGTGGGGGGTACTTAGAAGGTTGTACCCGACATCGCCTAAAATCTCAGTTGGCCAATTGGTGGTGGAAGAAGATTAATACGTAAGCTAACAAGCTCTGCCCCCCTTATTCAGCCGTGCAACCTTGCAGCCCAGGGATCGGGTTCCAGTATCTAATTTTAAAAATTACTTGTCCAGTTCTAACTTTGACCTGTTTGCCAGATCTTTTTCCACCACGGCACCAACGACAAATATCCTAACTTCATTGTTCTTCACCTGGATTGATTTCAGCATCCCACCAATCTGATACTCAATCATACCGCTTTTGATTCGACAGAGCACTTTGGCAATATCGAATCTCACCTTCTCTACGTGACACAATGGCTTCTCGTATTCAGATTCCCCTTGACGTCTTGACGTCGCGCCTGAACATTCAGGATCGCTTCGCCGGGTTTCGCAACACCTCTCTCTCCAGCCGGTTCGCTAATATGCGTCCCGTTGGTGAGTTTCTCGACTTCAAGCGCTTGTCTAAGCCAGAGAACTTCGGCGAGGTCCAGTCGCGTGTCAATTACAACTTAGGCACCTTCGCAAGCAACTACCTCTTGGTCATCGTTCTTCTCAGTGTTTACGCCTTGATTACGAACCCTCTTCTGCTTTTCGACATTATACTCCTGGGTGGTGGATTATGGCTCCTCGGCCGACTCAACGGACAGGACCTCACCATTGGTACCTTCCACGCCACCTCCTCCCAGCTGTATACCGGATTGCTCGTTACCTGTGGTCTTCTATTTCTTATTGCGTCGCCTTTCAGCACTGTCCTATGGCTGATCGGTGCAAGTGGCGTGGTCATCTTCGGCCACGCTTCTTTTATGGACAAGCCTATCGATGAGGCTTTTTCCGGGGAGGCGGTCTAGGTGGTCGGCCGCGAGCTCCCAAATCTGCGCCCCAATGGGGAAGACCATCGAGGCGCCCGCGAAGAGGAAGGGGAGAAGAGGAGGAAGACAACGTATGGGGTACTGGGCGCCGCGTTGTGGAGGAGTTAGGAAGCGAGAACGAGATGGATATACAAGGTACTGATTTGGTAACGACATCGGGTAATAGACGGTTTGCTAGTGATCCACTTCGGTTCACAGGAATAGATTTGAGCAGTGGCGGCCAGCCACGGAACGGTTATGCTTATCAACATTCGGACGACGAAAACGACTCAACCGAAGACGACTCGGAGGCTGCATCTGAAGAAGACGAAGACGAAGACGATGAGAATTCAGCTCTTAGGAGGGAACTTGACGAGGCTCTAGTGCAATCAGCCCTTGCGAGGATACGGAGAGCCCAAGCCAAGGGCAAGGCGGACGTCAAACTAAATAAGGAGGAGCTTGCAGCTCTTGAACGTAGGCGGAAACGCTTACAAGCCGAGAAAGACGCAAGACGACGTAGCGGAAGTGATCGGAAGCGCAAAGAAAAAGAGCAGCGATATGCTGTCCCCCTTTCTCAGTTCGAAGATCCTCAATCTGGCTCGGAACAAAACCAACTTGCCCCTCCCATGGGGCGTTTCCCTCCTCCTAATGCCTCGCATTCACGTCCTCGCGATGGTAGTACATCTACATCCTCTACTCGTCGTCCTCGATCTATCGTACAAGACTCTCCACCGTTCGATTATCAATATGTGCATGCACCCCCTAATCAACGTCACGCCTCAGATCCTACAACCAAGCCTTCATCTTCACGCACGTCCTTCACAGAAGCCAGAGACATTTTCCAATACCAAACCGCGGGACCCCGCGCGTTATATCCCGACAGGAGCAGTTCAAGACATGCTAAAAGGGAGGAAAGGAACGGGCGTGAACGTGAGGACGAGACAACCAGTGACGATGGAGTTCATGAGGCACGGCTTTCGAGAGGAAGAAGTCGAGGTGAAATTGTGGTACAGACATCTCCTTCGCCCGAACGTACCAAGAGTAAAAAGTCTTCGGAACCCGTTGCGTCGACGAAACGGAAATCAGTAGCCCCTAAAAAGAGAAAAGGGAAATAAATCAAGTAGTCGTCTAGCTATCCTAATAAACAAAAGCATACCGTGTAATTGTAATTGATATCAAGAATGGTCTTATTATTTCATTTCGCCTGTGAACTGTTCTCATAATTTTATGGTAATCCAATCCAACCTTCACCTGGAAGATATTTCCAGAAAACAACTTTTCAAATTGCGTAGAATCTAGGTAATTAACACGAAGGGTATCGTATCGATTCGCTGAATCATCCTTTTAGCCATGAATCAATCGTAACCCCAACATTTTTTTTTCTGAAAAAGAATAAGGAATGGTACGAAGTAAAGTGAAGTGAAGTAAAATCTTTCTCAAAATTGCTTCCTCGAAGCAATCCCCAAAAACGCCATCCATAAAGTCGTATAGGTTGCCTTAAATCCCGCGGCCCGTCCCACCCTAGGTAGGTAGGTTAGATACCTCTCATCATAAACGCATTATATACACCGCTCCCAAGCCCCTTCGTTATTTACATACCTCATACCTAACCTAAGGTAGGTACCTAATATACCCCCACACCCCTCCGCTAAGAAAAGAAATCGCGAATACTACCGAAGAATCCACGATCATGACCGTGGCTCTCGGTACGGTACTCCTCCCTGTGGCGCTCCCAGCGGAAATCGCCGTGGCCGTAGCCGTAGTTGTCGCGGGCATGGGCGCGATAGTCCGCCAGGCTGCTGCTGTCGTTCCTGCCGCTACCACCACCACCACCACCCATGCCGCCGGCCATGCGCACGGCCTCGTTCATGAGGCCGACGCTGTCGCCGGAGCCGGCGCGGGCGGCGACGCCGAGCATGCGCTCGATGGTGGGGGGTAAGCGGAGGCCGAAGCGGGCGAGGAGGGCGGTCAGGGCGCCGCCGGTGATCAGCGGCATGACGACCAGCATGAACACCTTGATGGGGTGGCGCTTCGCGTAGTAGATCAGGTCGCGCAGGAGGCGCCGCAGCTTCTTGAGCGTGCGCTGGATGAAGGACGAGCGCGGCTGGCGCTTGTAGTACGAGCTGTTGGAGTGGCCTAGTTGGGGGGGAGGGAATGGATTGTTAGCCGTTTATGTGGCACGTGTGGCAGCAGCTGTTTGTTTTGTGCATATATTGTCCTACGTGGTCGAAACAAAACTTTGGAAAAAAAAATTCACCAGTCGTGCTTACGTGGCCATTGGCATATGAATGGAAAACGGGAATATGAAGGAGAATAGGGGGGGAAACATGAAAATAAAAATAAACTCACCACCGAGGCTGAAGAAGCTCCGAGTGCTGCCATTCCCAAGGCCGAAGAAGGAGCCCCGCGAACTGCTGTGCTTGCTATAATGACTGTCGCCGCCATAAACAGACCCTGGGCGCTTGCTACGGTGCGAGCGAGGAGAATCTCGAGATTTGGAGGATCTATGGTGGGTTGTAGAGTGAGACTTTCGTGTCGAGGATGAGATGACGGAGTCGGCGTCGTCCTCGTCCTCCCAGTCGAAGAAGCCCATTGTAAAGAATTTGACGACGTAAGTATATATATATAGTATAAGTGCCCAAAGCGTATATATAGAATATATGCTACTCTATATAAATCGTATATATACGAAGCTTTTCTGTCTCACTCAAGCTTGCAGCATATACGTAAGTTCCGCAACGTCGAGTATCACAGAGCCGAGCCAAGCTACCGTCGTTCAAATCTCCGAGGCGGGGCAAAATCGAGAAAGAGAGGGCCGTAGGAGGCAAGCTAAGGGATATTCACACAGGCAAAAAAACTGCCGGGGCGGATCTCATACGAAGATCAAGATCAATTTTCTGATCTCACGATCTCCGTTGGCTGGGTAAGCTATAAGCGCACCGACCAGCCTGTGAACATTGAGCTGGAGCTAGTATTTCAAAGATGATTTACCCACTTCGGCGGGACTCGATGCTAGAGTTAAAAAAAAAAATAGGAACAATATGTATGGTGTTATGGCTTGCAGAGGTCCAGAGGAGAAAGGTATCGTGAGTTAAAACTCGGAACTGCGAATGAGAGAAGAGAGATCGACTTTTGCTCACCGACAATTCAAGGGGCTGGGGGCTGTTGCGGCTGGCTGGGCGAACCCCCTGGCAGCCTGGACAGATCTGCGTTGCCATAAAAACCCCTAAAACAACCCTGACAGCCAGAACTGGCCCCCTGGCCTTAAGGCTAGTCTGGATCTGCTCCAGTGTTTTTAGACGCTCGCCATTTGCGCTTGAACCATTTAGGCAGCTCGCTGGAACTTGGCTCAAGACGTTCCGGAGGGGGATTGTCAAGCCACCGTGGCTAGAACTTTTAATGATTACCCCTTTCGGAAAGTCAGCTTTAGCTGCGTAGTGTGTAGCCACATCTATGACGTCCCTTATTGGATGCACCTTTACACCTTATCCATCCACTACCTATCTTGAGTACCCAACACCACCTAACAAGCCTAATGAGCATGACTTGGCCTTTCAAGTTTATAAGTTAATTTCGTAATATTTTGTTGAAGTTTTGCCTCAGACTGCTTAAGTTAATATACCTTTTATCATTATCATCGCGAATTTGAGATACCCAAGATGACTGACAGAGCACCTCCTAATTATTGTACGTCATTACCTTGTCTCCTCTTCGCTCCCGCAACGTCAACCCCACTAACAAAGGATAAACCACAGACAAGATCCTCGAGGTCTCCGAAACTGCTAATACGCAGCAGATTCGCGATGCCTATAAACGGTAAGTTTTAAATGCATACCTGGCCTATATTTGCGAAGGTTACTTTGTATATCATGTCAAGATTTCCTTTCGCTAACAAGACTTCCTCATTGTTAGAGCTGCTCTCAAAACCCACCCGGATAGAGTTGCTTCGAACTCGCCTGAGCGGCCCGCGAGAACACGCAGGTTCCAGCTCGTAAACGACGCTTACTACACACTTTCGGACACCACGCGGCGGCGTGAATACGACGCCCAACGCAGACGGTTCGGCGGCGGGCGCAGCAATTACACGTTCGACGACGCAGATGACCCAGAGGAATCCGTGCCTCCCGGGACAGGCGGAGGAGGAGGAGCAGGAGCAGCACAGAATGCATACTCGTGGGCGTGGAACTTCTTCACGGGCGGGAACACGGATTCGCAAGCCAATGCGCAACAGGCGCGGCAGCAGGCGGAAGACGCGCAGTTCGGGGACGTGTTCGAGGAGATGCTGCGGGAGCAAGGGCTCGCGGACGAGGACACAAACGGGCCGACGTCCAAGTTCTGGAGCATACTCGGCGCGGCGAGCGGGGGTGTGCTGGGCTTCATCATGGCGAACGTGCCGGGCGCCGTTGCGGGCGCCGTTGCGGGGAATAGGTTGGGCGCTGTGAGGGATGCGAAGGGCAAGAGCGTGTATGCTGTCTTCCAGGACTTGCCGCAGGATGATCGTGCGAGGCTATTAGCGCAGCTTGCTACAAGGGTGTTTAGCCATGCCGTGGGGATCTGAAGTATTGGCGGTTGGTTTTATGTTTCTGCCCCTACGTTTCTACCCTTATGACCTATGAGAACATGAGCATCTCGGTATGCAAGGTCTACGTAATTTGGTTTGAGCCGCATTTCCTTCTACTGGAGATTATGCGTGGAGTTTGGGTGGTTCGGGTGATTTTAAAGCTTTGCTGGTTGATGGGTAAGGGAAGGACTGAACCGGATAGAGAGAGGTTTTAGTAACAAACTGTCATTCTTGGTAGAAAGAAGGCGTGAGTTTATAGTCTTATAAGTATATCACAGTTATCCCATATTGATTACCTAAGGGCACAGGATATTTACATAGTATTTATGTATCTGCAGTGAATTATCTTTTAACTTTTGGTTATGGTCTTATCTTCTTTATCGAACTTATTTGGCGTCAAGGGTGTTAATAGGCAGTCGCGGGCAAAAAAAAAGGAAAGGAAAGGTTACGCAAAAGCTAAATGACGCTATCCTATTTCTGGGGGGTTCTTCCCCTCGTACCTGGCAGGGATTGCTGTTTCTTCCCCCACTACCCATCGGCCGTCCTGCCGTCCCCCAGTGCAAGTCTTTAAACCTTGGGTCTTTTTACTCTTCAACTGCTAGGCTAAGTCGGTACCTACCTCATAATAGCTCCTACATCATCCTCACCTGGCAATAAAGATGGCCAAACCTACAGAAATCACCTCGGTTGATCAGTTCAACGAGTTCTTAAAGAGCTCGCGCATTGTGGTCGCAGACTGTAAGTTATTACCACCACCACTACCACCACCAACAACTTGCCCCGCCATCGTCATCATAGCTACGACGCGAAAGCTGACAAATTGCTCCAACGCGCAGTCTACGCGACTTGGTGCGGACCATGTAAACAAATTGCACCCTTCTTCGAGCAACTGTCAAAATCTCTTTCACGCCCCAAAGTTGCAACCTTCGTCAAGGTTAATACGGAAGCTGAAGGAGCTAAGGCTGTCGCAGCCGAATACCGTGTTACGCATCTGCCCACATTCATAGTGTTCCGCGATGGGGTTGTTGCTGAAAGGGTCAAGGGTGCTAATCCGAAGGAGCTACAAACAATCATCGAGAATCTGAGTCATAACATCGAGCATGCTACTCAAGGGGAGGGCAGTGGCAGTGGTGGCTCGGGAGGTATCGCTTGGAGGGGAGCTGATCTACCCCGAGGATACATGGACATCTCCGACACTATTGATGTGCGAGGATTAGAATTACTGAACGCCGATGAGAGCCACTTCTCTGTCAGAACTCTCTTCAGTAAGAGCAAACCTTCGGCGTTATCCAAGGATAAGGCTGAAAGCAATGAGAAGGACTGGGTAGAGAGCGATACGGACGAGCAGTTACTCCTTTATACTCCCTTCAACTCCGCTATCAAGCTCCACACAATACAGGTATATAAGCTTGTTCCGCTACATATGGTTTTGGTATTAAGCTAACTAACGAACTTTGCTAGATCACTTCTCTGCCGCCTACTGATGATGAAGACGACGATGACGTACCTATGCGGCCCAAGACTCTCAAGCTCTTCACAAACCGACCGCACAACCTAGGCTTCGACGAAGCCGACGATATCGACCCGACTCAGACCATTGAGATTAGCGAGAGCGACTGGAACTCTAACGGTACTGCGAGTCTGCCACTGCGATTCGTCCGCTTCCAAAACATTACTAGTCTCGTCATCTTCGTCGTGGACGGTGATGGAGATGGCGAAAAGGTCCGGATAGACCGAATAAGATTTATTGGCGAGTCTGGCGAGAAGAGGGAGATGGGGAAGCTTGAAAAGATCGGCGACGAGCAAGGTGAATAGAGTGCTACAAGAGGGGGAAAAAAGAAAAAAGAAAAAAAAAAGATTGGGTGGGCATGCAAGCACCAATCGTGGACACTATTACTTATGACGAATGCAAGCAACGAATGGAACGCAATGAACTGCATCTATATAGATAGATGTCATCAATGACCGGAATGCTCAGTATGACTTTCCATTCTCGTCTACAGCCACAGAAAGTGTTAACAAGGTCATGATTGGCATATGTGTCTGTCCATCTATTTGGTGTCACCACCAAACATCGTGGTGACCAACCAGTTAATTTCCTGCATTGGAGTTGATGGAGATTCTACTGATCTGCATATCCTGTTGGCCATCGAGTTTAGTTCTGACCTCATCGCCACCCTCACGGATTCGCATATTCTTCCTTATTACTATAGTCAGTGACAAGTGATAAATTTTACACTTAATATGATATGTAAGAACCAAGCCACTGTGTTGAGTAAGCAACGTAGGTCAAGATTGAATCCCCTAGGAAGACTATTATTCCCGAAGATTGCAATCATGTCTTGGATAGACATTTATTCTTGTCCAACAGCAGAGAACAAAGAAAAAAAAAACCCTTCTCCCAGCTAGCCTCTCCTTCTCTCCCTCGCTCTCTCGTAAGCTGAGTTAGATGGATATAAGGCCGTTTTTTATGTCCAGCATCTTTACTGCGGTTCGAAGAAGCGATCAAAGGCTTCGGAGCTCGAACCGACTTCAGAAGTAAAATCGCCGGCTTGCAATTTTAATTACTCTGTGGCATGACTGACGCTATGTATCCATGGAGGTGTATTCCACTGAAGGAAGAATGGGATTCGAGCAACACGGGAAATGTTATGTCATGCCAGCCGCACGAAGAAGAAAAAGAAGAAAAGAAGAATAAAATTTTGTCGCATCGCGCTCGGTTTTTGATTTGCTCTGCTAGCGTCGGAACACGGTAGAAGTTCGGATACGGAACCGATACTGTACGATATACTGTGAAGACCTGCATACACTAGTTGCGTTAGGTTAGGTACTTAGTAAGTTAACGTAAATTGTAACGGGCGATTACATAAGAGGTATGCTCCTAATCTATCGATAGGAATTATAAAATAAATTCATCCGATATTGTCCCAAATAAACTTGAATAATTATTCCGAGGTTTCATTGCCTCCAACTTGCTTCCAAGTTCCAAATCCAAGCTTCAGACTTGAAATTCCCAATGCTCCACTTTCTCAAAGTCGCATTGCACATCAAACTGAAGCGGGTTCAATTCAATGTTTTTGAAACCAGCAGAAGGATTAAAAAGTAGGAAGTAAATTTGCTTTTCTCCAACAAATTACTACGAATGCAGTCTTTTTCCCCTCCCGTCTTATAAATCTAGACGCTCTACTGTGACCAAGCCTCCAAGCCTCAAAGGACCCTTGGAACAGCTGGCCCCCTTCCGGAAACGATCATGCTGTTTTTAATATAAACCCGTCCACTTGGATCCCTTTCCATATTTCAAACATCCTAGGCCTTTTTCCTTCTCTATTGCTCACCCTCTCACCCCTTCTACGGCGCATCCCCGCAAGCTCCCCCGTCAAGTGAGAATGGGAAGTGGAAAGTGGGAGTAAGAGGGGCATACGTGTGCGCATGTCCGTCCTAGGGGTAAATTACGGATACATGTAGGCTTCTGGGTCGACTAGGTCGACCGAGTCCGACTGAATCCGACTGTATTCAACCTTGTTACCCATATATCATGACCAATAACGGTTAGGTACTCTCTCTTCCTCTATGTGCTGTACGCATCCATGGATCTTCCGCCGAGAAGAAGGACTCCGGGTTTTCGGGGAAGCTATTACATACAATACCAGCTAATGACTGGTAATGACTGGCTAGCTAATCCGTTTAATGTGTTTCGACCCATTGGCAAGCCTCGTCTACAGCCCTGACTCTGGTTTGTCTGGCTTGTCTGCGTATCCTTTTGTTATATTCTCGTCGTCGAACCCCCAATTCCTTCCCCTCATGCAACGTCACGCAGCAGACTTATATCCCACCAGCATGGGGCTTTATTAAGTCGCCAGAAGCCGCACACACAGTAGCATCGCTAGCAACCCCCCTTATAAAACCCTCTAGGTCGATGTCAGCTGCTCTAGCCTCCGTCTTGGATATGATAGTCTACTGTAGTCTGCTGCGTGATATCTGCACGTGTGCCACAGCGGCAGGGTTCCAACGTAGCACGAAGAAAGGCGAACCGGCGTTGGGAAAACTGTCTAACGTATTAATATCCAACTTAATTGTTCCATTTATAGACCAGTTCCGACCGTCGCATGTCTCGACTCCCTATTCGTCTACCGCCTAACGCATGTAAGCTTTCTATCTATCGCCTCGAAACTTCTCGTGGCTATCGTACATAGTGGTAGTCTTATTAACCCGCGGATCGTTTTCATAGGATTCTCCAGCACGCTTCAGCTTCCCTTTTCAGGAGCTGCCTCGCTACGTTGGTTGTACGTCAGCGCCCCGACTCGTAGCTGATTGTATGCGTCCGTATTGTGCCATCACCCCCATCCATGTCTCTTTCTGGAAGGTTTCCGCCGCTCAAGCGTCCTCTTAGGACCTGTTAGCTCGTCGCCCTTGGTCTTTCGCTCACAAGTCCGTCCCATACCCACATGACCGGGCTGGCTGGCTGGCTGGCTTAAACTATTTGCTGTCTACCCCCAACCAACCTTTTTTTACATCTGAGTAAAGAAGCAAAAAAGGAAAAAAAGAAAAAAAAGGGTTTTTTTTCTTTTTTTTTGCAAGCCACCCTTTTCCCTTAGCGGCTCCAGCTGTCTCTAATATTCTGGAGACGCCGACCCATGTGATCCAAGCATCCTACGCATTTCTTGGTACATATTCTACCAGTGACCTTAAAAGTTGACTCTTAAATCTCATAAACATCTTACATCATATGTTGGCTCGGCTCCTTCCTGGCAGAACCCCTGTGAATAAATTTACTCCTTTTTTCTTCCTCCTGGATTCAGTCCGATTTTGCCTTTCTCCCGTCGGTGTCAGAACACGTCATTGAGTTTTTACATTGGATTTAGCGGCAGAGTTTAAGAGAAGCGCGGCGTAGTAACTAAAGTCGTGGCTTATTGCTCGAGGCCTCCTCCACGCCAACTTGAACAATCCGCTTTGTGGCCAACTTTACACAGCGACGTGGATCGCTTGTCGCTCCTCGTAAGGAGGGACTTACGGACTTACGAAACCCGATATAGGGCACCTTACGAGGCATTTTTAATTTGTTCAAAGGATCTTGGGGCTGAAGTTGGAAGCCTCGGGAATCGTTGCTGATAGATTCAAACAGTTGAGGGTGTTTCGAGGCTGTAGCTGGCAGGAGTTTGCATTGGCTTCTGCCAGTTTAGCCACCTTCGTATCGGCTTTTACGTTTCCACAGTACCGGACCGACTCTCAAGCGTAAGCGGTAGGACGTGCCACGGACGGTATTTAGAAAATTGTGGCAGAAGAAAAAGAAGAAGAAAAAAGGTCAAATCTACAAAACTTGGATATTAATACTATTACGACCTATCTATCACCAGAGCGAACATTGACTTGACGACCCACGATGGCTACCGAACTAACCTTTCCGCAATTTGGAAGATTGCCGCTAGAACTACGGGATATGATATGGGGATACGCTCTTCCCGAGCCGAGGGTTTTTGAAGTCCTTGATTCTCCGTCGACCGCGCAATCTCAAACCACGGCGTCAGGCCGTTTGATGTTTGCTGACGTCCGCAACGAACCCCCGCCCTCTATAGCACGAGTCTGCCGTGATGCCCGGCAAGCGGTTTTGCGTCGCTACAAGCCCATCGCATTTTCCGGAACGGTCAAGCACCTAGATCTCTGCCGAGACATCATTCTACTTGACTCGTACTTACAAGTGAAGAGGCTTCTGAAAGTGGTTCGCCTCCTCAGCCAGATTGAACCGATCCGTCGGAGCGCTACCAGGTTGGCTCTTGGCACGTCGTGGGGTCTGCACACCGGGTTACACCTACGAATGTTTCACCGGAGCGTCCAGACGAAGCGCAACATGGCCCGGTTTCTCGAGTACATATCCAAGTTTCGTCAGCTCGAGACCATCATCCTCGTCGTCTACCAGCGCTCCGCGTTCGGCCTCCGGTTCAAGTGCTGCGGCCCGGACCGCCCGCGCAGCCTACCCTGGCGCCATTACGACTTGTACGAATCATACCACTTCAACTTCAATGTCAACTTCAACCTCGACAACTACTGGCTTCGCCGGCCGTATCAGAGCCGGCTAGTGAGGTACGAGCCGGAGGACGACAGGACGGAGGCGGAAAAGGCGCAGCACCAGCACCAGCACCAGCATTACAACCAGCAATCTTCCCAGTTGCCGAGGCATCATTCGAAGCAGTGCATCCACGACCCGCAGCCGCGCGGGTACCAGGTCCACGACTTGAAGGGCACGTTCGAGGGCTGGCTGAAGAAGTTCGCCGAGGACGAGACGCTGGGCCCGTCGTTGAAGGTGCCGAACTTGGAGACGGCTACGTTGACTTGGATCTACACGGGAGTTCGCAACGACGGGTTTTATTGAAAGGGTTGCGGCGAGAGGAAGAGGGCGAGGTACCTACCTCCTTATGTATGCATGTATTCGTGTAGGTATAGACTACTGTCCTCGTCGTCCCTCGGGGACATTGGAGGTACATGCCAATGCGGTTATGGCACTATGCATCATTACAGTTAGGGTATGCAAATAGGAAATAATATCCTTACACATTCTGCAATACGCTGTTGCTGCTACTTGGGGGGGGGGGGGGGGGGGGGGGGGGGGGGGGCGGGCGGGGGGGGGGGGGGGGGGGGAGAGGGAGGAGGGGGGAGT